AAAAAAAAAAAAAAAAAAAAAAAACTTCTTGTGCCTTTTTCATATCCCCCATAAGAATTTATGTGATTTATATGAATTCGTTGTTTATGTTAATTTTTTTTTTTTTTTTTTCTGTAGATTTTATATTTTTTTTAATTAAATGAAAAGAATATAAGAATATTAGACAAACGGAGTTTGATGAATACCAACTTGGACGGATTTCATCGAACATATATAACTGAAAACGTATTCATCAGTTCTGGTTAATCAGTTTAGGTTAAATAAATTTTCATTAATTCAATTTGACTTTATTTATTTTGAAGTGTTGACCTTGAAGTACTCATCTTGGAGTGCTACATCTAGATGTTTTAATTCTTTGATTAACTGATTGACTACCCTTATCTTCTTCCACCAGTTTGACTTTCCCCCATTTCGTCTTCTTTGCATGTTCACACGCAGTTTCATTTTTTTTTTAATTTGCTTTCTTTCAATTCTGTTTCAAGAGCGCATGAATTGCTCTGACGAATAAATAAGTCTTTCTTTGTCTAAGGGCACACATGCGGAGAGATATCCATATGCATGTGCACAAGTGCACAGTCCAAATTCCTGAGAGGGGCTCGAAGGGATTCTAGGAACAAGCCTATGATCCTTTGTCCGACATCCGTATGCGTGCTTATGTGTATGTATCATGTATTTGCGCTACTTTAGACCTTCCGATGCGCTGTGCGCATAAAGGCGCATAATCGAGGGGATTCGTTGCGTGAAATTTCTTTTCAACAAGTTTGTCTTCCCCGAAGGCAACGAGTAAAAAATGCCAGGAGAAAATACTCGTGGTGTACAGTATTTGTTTTCTCCCTCGGCAAGGGCGCCCTTTCCGCTGGGAAAAATATTCCATTGAGTATTGGCGCATTAGACACACCAACGTCAGAGCTTCTGAATATTTCGAAGCCACACAGATGCGTGGGAAACACGTATATATTATGACAATTTTGAAGTTAGCATACCTTGTCAAAGCTTATACGTATGGATTTATTCGCAGAGTATATTTGAATTCGAGTAAATCACCGCCTCACAGCTCCTAGCGAGTATTTTACGCACCATTGCAGCGGTGCCGTTCCTTTTCACTGTTACGTGTGAGCACGTGCATGTGCAGCAAGTGTAGAACAAGAACAGAAATAAAGTATAATAGGAGAAATAATTAAGCACAGAAAAAATTACGCAGTGAACAAAAAAAACCTAAGCAAAAAATAGGTAGAAGCACATAACATCAAATTAGTGAAATAAATCCAGAATAGACAACCCGCTATCCACTTTTTTTATTTTATTTATTTTTTTTTTTTCTCCTTTTTACGTGTTGTGAAAATGTCTCTGTCTATGCTTAGCGCGCTGATCAAAATTAAGTTGATCATTTATTGCTTTAAGAGACTGCTACTGTTTAACAAGTACAAACACATTCAGCTAGAGAAAAACAAGAAGAGAAAGAAACATAAATTACAACAAGGAGCACAAGGGGATGCCCTTGCAGAAATTGGCTCAACTGATGCAATTGTAAAAAAAAACCTCCAAACGAAAACGATTTATTTTATTAGACATAGTGAGTCAGTATGGAACAGTATGTTTAACAGAAAAATAACAACCAAAAATTTTTTAAAACTTTTTCTTATGTTCTTTTACGAAGTATTTTTTTTATTTAGTAAAAAGACCAGGCTAATTGACTCTCCATTGAGTAAAACTGGTATACAGGAGTCCGTTGAATTATCCAAATTTTTAAAGAGCAGCATAGATGATAATGAAAATACAAACTTTTGTATACACGAAGGAATTAAGCAATTGGAATACATTGATAAAGCCACAAAGGAGATGGATGCCTTCTATTCTAAGCTATGTGATGGAACATATGACGCAGTTACTGCGGAAGAAAAAAGCTACGTCAGTATTTGTGATGATTTTTATTATAGGACCACTGAAGAACAAAAAGATTATGCAATGATTTGTGATGGAATTGAAGAGCTGTCTGAGTTAGAACGGCACTTTAATGATATTTGTGAGGGGTACTTTGATGGGTTACTATACAAAGGGGCTAAGTTCGTGCCTCGTCGTATTGCAGGAGATGATGGTTATGAATCGTCCGGCGATGATGATGATGATGACGATAGCGATGACGAAGATGACGTAGATGTAAAACAATTCCAAGATGATGAACCACAAAATGATGTACAGCAGCAAACTAAAGAGAAACATATAACAGATAAGACGGATACAGGAAGTCAGTCCCAAGAGAAATGCAAAAAGACCAAGGGGAAAAAACACAAATCGGTACCTTCCAAAGCCGACACTTCCAAAACTGACACTTCCAAAACCGACACTTCCAAAACCGACACCTCCAAAAATGCCCAAGTCGCAGATGCATCAAAAGCGCCTACACTTAATGAAGATACTAAATCCAAGAAGAGCTCATTTAAATTCGGGCGAAGGAAAAATGCCAAAAAAAAAGTCTCCCATTCTACAGATTCCGAACCCAAAGGTGTCAAAAGTGGTCATAAGGAAATTGCACAAGCTGAAAAATCTGCTAGTAGAGGTTCCAGATTTGGAAGATCTCGCAAAAAAGGATCCAGAGGTTCTGACACTCCTATGTCGAGTTTAGAAGAAAAAGCAACAAGCACCTCTAGCACCGCAGACACCACAGAAGGAAGTAAAGATGACAATACACAACACATTCCGAAGCAAAAACCAGATAACTTAAGAAGTGTGTCCATTGAGACTAATCTGCATCCTGGCACCAGTACCCCTATTAAGGAAGATGAAGACATGCTTGAGAGTTCACTATGTGTAAGTAGTATTGGAAGTGAATTTAAGGAAACAGATGGCGCAAACAATCATGATGAAGAACAAGAAAAACAAGAAGAAGAAGTATCGGACAACATGGATACCTTCGGAAGTGTTGATAATATAGCAATCGAAGATCTTGAAGAACAATACAAATCAGAAAATATACTTAGTATGACTGTAAAAGAACATGTAGATATTCTTAATAACAAGAAATATAACAGTGTTGTGTTATGTTCAGATTTAAGAAGAGCCATTATAAGTTGTTTCATTGCCATGCAGGATCGATTCGCTACATCTAAAGAAAACGTGTATATGCTAAAATCACTACAGGAACTTAGTAGAAATGTAGATTCTATTACTTTGTTCAATTTCTACCATAAGTATGTTACACCCACGAAGAAGAATTACGTCAGTGAAGATGTTAATACTATGATTAAGCAGCAAGTTAAAATGACCGAAACAACACACGGGCGTAGATTCCAGGATACACTCTCGTATATATTTAGTGATACAAACAATATCTTTATCATTTTTGGTCACAGTTTGTGGTTCTTAAGTTTCTTTCGAAGCTTTTTAAAACCACCACACACGGCAAGAAATCACAAAATGAGAAATTCCGCTGTTGTCGTATTTAACCTCAGTAAATATGAAGATGAAAAAGGAAAGGAGCAATATGAAATCGACCCAGATAGTGTTACGGTTATTTTCAAGGGTTTCGAGAAAAAAGCTTGCAATAAAGACTAAATGTTATTAAAAAAAAAAAAAAAAAAAGGGAAACAAAGAAAAGCACTCCGGTGGAGAGTTACAAAAATAGACAATATGCTGTGCGAACTCTGAGTAGTTTGTACCAGAATAACAGCGTCACCGGTGAGTGGTCCCAAAATGTTACTTAAAAAAAACAAAAAACAAAAAGGAACGTTGAATCAGCGCAACGCAAAAACATGCGAAAGGCCGTGTCAACTTCTACTCTCACAAGGGGGTGCACATTACGCAGGAAGACAGGTGCATATAATAAGAATAATAAAAGCCACAAGTCTGTGAGTAAACCATGTTGGAATACATATACACCTACACGTTTGGGAAAAAAAAAATTAAAAAAAACGCCTAAACCTTTTTCGTCCACCCCACCTCCATTTTGTACTATATTAAAATTGTCCAAATATTAGTACACTTTTCATCCCCGCGTGGATGTATTTCCCCCTGCGTCGCTGTCATGCGTGAATTTCGTCGCTCGCCGATTCGAACATTTATTCGTTCATCTATTCGCACATGTTTCAGTACATTTCTTTGCCACTACCATAAATGATAGTGGCATTTCATTTCAATTTTCTTTCCTTCATTTTACCCCCTCACTTTTATTTACGTCCATTTGCAAACTTCCATTTTGATATATTTTTTTTTTTTTTTGTTACAGAAACTTGCCTAATTCGAAAATCATGTTTTTAACATTCCACAGCGAACTGTTGCTAAATTCATACCTGCGTAAAAAAAAAAGAAAAGAAAAGAAATATATTATCAATTAATTATGTCGCCCATTGTTCAGTGCAACAAATGGTTAGACAAGCGCCCTGCACTGTGTTCACTGACATTGTACGCATGTGTACACAAGCGTTGATATGCACCCCGGCCCTCGATCTTCTTGTTACCTGTTCATGCTGACTATGTACCGGGCCTTCCTCAAAAAGTAGTAGTGGGAAATTCTGTTCTTATGAAATATCGACAGAAATTGCAAAAAGGTAGAAAGGTCCATGAAGTATATCTCATCGCACAGCTGCCGCAAGAGGATGCTAAAAAAGGCATTGTCCTTTTGAACCATGTGCAAATGGTCCATCGATCTTAATATGTGCAAAATGCTGCGTGGGCTGAATTTCAACTCTCCCCGAGCAATTCTATCCTGCACGACTTGCTTAACTTCGTTAAAATACGCTAGCGCTTCATTCTGCTCAATCATGATGGAAAAGTAAAAAAAATTGGCTAGCTGCTTTTCCTTCAAATAATAATTAAAAAAAAAATTCTGCGAATGTGTAAGCGTCTTTTCAATTTGTTCCCTTGTTATTCCAAACTTATCATGTAGGTGCTTAAATTGGGAATTGAATAAATTTAAATCTACTACATATTTTTCGGATAAATAATTCACTTCCTTTTTTTTCTCACTGTACAAAAAGTTTATGTCACTCTTGGATGGGTCTTCATCGTCACGCACACTACTGTAGTAATCCTCTATCAGTGTGGAACCTTCGTTGATGGCATAGTCCATATCGCTCAGGTAAATCTTCTTATACATTTGCAGGTATACCAAACTTACGTTCTTCAAAAAAGTTATTAATTCGCTATCCCGTACCCTATTGTCCGTAACAATTTTCATACAGTACGTTAATAAATACGCCGGCATGGTATGCACGTCTCTACATATGCGTTTCGTGACCTCTTTTTTTAAGAGCTCTACTTTATCATTTGTCAACTTGGATTCGTACAACCCTTTAAAAATTAAGTACACATGAAATAGGCTAAAGTTATTTATATTGTATTTCACCTTGCCGTACAGGAAATCGTTAAATAGGTGAAACGAATGGCTTAAATTGACTTCCAAATTTTGAGCATCTTTCTCTGCACAGGTGGATACGTCTTCCCCTTCGACGTGGACCTTCTTCTTCGCGCTCTCCTTGTGTCCAGAATTTTTATTGCCGTTTCGTCCCCACCTACTGTGCGCTTCTTCGAAGACACCATATTTCAAAAAGGGGTATGTTACCAGAGATATATTTTCCAATGAAGTGTTACTTAAATCATTCAAAATATGGTTGTAAATAATTTTGTAAATCCTCTTTCGCTGCAACAGCTTGTCTTTCAGTGCGTAGAACAAAATGCTCAGGTAATTGTTATCCAGCATGTAATACTCCTGTTCAATTTTAGAGAAGATATAATTCCACTTTAAAAATTTCCCCTTGGTAAAAATACAATCCGCAAAGCATAAAATGGATATGTGCTTTATATTTAGCTTTTCAATATTGTCATTTAGGTATGTTACTAATTTGTCTATCACATTCCTGTTCCTCTCCTGGAAGAACAAATTGACCCTATCTAGTTGGCAATAGACAAGAAGAGCAGAGCACACAGAATCAATTTCACTCAAATCCAGATCGTACCTATTAAACGTTTTCGCAATGCTATCGAAAAGTAAATACGCGTTGTTCACATTTTTCCTAACACCTAAGCAGTTCCCTCCGTCGGAGTTGCATCCATTTATGCCACTGCTATTGAAGGTGTAAAAGGAGCTGATCAGACTTAACACACTATTAATATCGATGTCGTTTCTGTTCAAGATAAGCAGGGAACTATGCTCGACTACCTTTTTGTATATCTCTTCATTATAATAACTGTTATTATTATTCATTGCATAAAGTATATTCGCGCAGTTTTTTATATTTAGGGAGTACAAATTGGTGGAAATATTCCCAAGCATTGTGAGAAAAAAATAGTGGTTATAAAAAATTGCCTGCGAGGCGTATTTAAATATATAGCTTAACACATTTCCATTCACTTTGTGCGCAATTCTTGTACACCTGTTTAGCAGATTCTTCCAAATGCAACTTTCCATAATATTCTCTTGTATGCATTTATTCATAATTACACATAGAGTTATTTCGTCCATTTGTTCAATATATAAGCTGCCCCCCAATTTGTTATGCAGGGATATATTTGGATAGCCAAAAAAATTTAAACTGGTCTTTTCATTTATCATATCCTGGTTCCCATTTTCCACAACAAATTGTTTATTCACATGTGTCTGCTTCCAGTATTCCCCCTTAATGTTAATTTTGTGCACATTCGAATTTTCCGCCAGGGGCCTCCTCGTTTTGTATTTATCGTTTTGCTTACTCCATTTCCTCTTGCTTGGGGGGTTATAATGCCTTTTGCTCACAAGGAAGAAGAAGCATTTCTGATTTGTTTTCATTTAAATTATATTTTTTCGTAAAGTTGGCACAAAAAGTAGACCCCCACATGGGTTTATTAAAATTTGGCAGAATGACCAAATGTTACAGCGAAGAAAAGACCATCTCAACAGCGGAAATCTGGTACAACGTTGTAATTTTGGAACAAAAAACAAAAAAAATTTTCATATATGTTTTTTACCCCTTTTACACACACACATGGGAATAAGGAAAAGCAACATTTGTCAAAGCCCCTCTACAGCCGCTTCCCCTTTCACCACAGAGTAGTTTACATACTTTTACGAGCACCAAACTTGTTTTCCTACAAACATTCTCTCACATTCGCCAAGTTGCCCCACAGTTTCCATAGGCGCGGTTACATAGTCTTAAGGCGTTCACCAGGATGGTACTATTTTGTGGGCATGTAAAATGCACCCTCAAAAGTTCTCCCAAGGAAATACAGCTAAATTGGTAGGTTTTATGAGCTATTTTTTTTTTTTTTTTTTTTTTCCTGTGTTCATAAAAAAGTTGAATAATTGACAAAAACAAAATAGCTAAATAAACATTTATTCAAATGTGAACACATGTAGTAAAGCATCACATAGAATTGTACCATTTTAGCGCCTTCACTACAAATGCGTGGAATGGAAAAACACACAAAAGAATCTTCAATAGTAGCATTTTAGCACAATTTGGGATGGGCCTACTATACTGTATGGGCGCAAAAAAAAAAAAAAAAATTTAAGGTTAGCAGTTAGGACCTCGCAGGGCTGTGTGGCAAACTACATACTGTTGCTGCTGTGTAATATTTAACGGTGCACCTTTTTTACTCTGTTTTTTTTTTTTCACTGCCTATGAACAATGGAGTGGTGTGCTGTATATAGAAGGTACTTTTGTAAATCCACATAGTGCGATCACTTCACAAAAATGCGGCGACAGCATCGTCTTGGCAATTGTATTCCCATGTGAGTTATTAGGAGGTGTGGATACATAGCACATATATATACACATGTGTGTGCCGCAGAAAAACCATGAAATGTGGGAGTAATTTGCACAACTGTCCCCTATCAACGTGCCTTTCCCCCAAATGGGCACTTTACGAAGGTTTATTACATAGGGGGGACAACTTATTTTGGGTCACTTCTTTTTCTAGTTGTAAGAAATGCTAATCAATAGTTTTAACAGAAACGTTGTTTTACCTTTTTTTCTGGGGGGGACACGTGCGACCTAAGGGGGAGGTATAGAGCAGATCAAATAATACACAAATGCTCTGCATTATCAAACACACCTCATGTCTGACGAGCTGGCCATGGCCACACGCTACTATACATTTTGACTTTTTCAAATAAAGTACCTATACTTAAAACTCGATAAGGTGAGGCTTTCATTTAGCAAGAAATTTTAAAATGACCATGCTAAGCTTCCCGGCTCAAAGGAATGCTCGTAGCGAAAAATGGAATCCAAAAAGGTTAAGCCAATTTGTATGCACACGCAGGTGCCGCGCGTAATGAAACTTCCTCCACAATGAAAACATATTTGTCACTAAAATGTGCAAATAAGTAAAAAAAAAAAAAAAAAAAAAAAAAAACCATTGCATTTATTAAACATACAACCGAATGGAATGGACAATATAATTTCTTTCAGCTTTACAACGTATAGGGGAAAAATTGCGTCATGTCCTGCACACTTATGTTCAAGATGTCCAAAATGAGGAAGCCGTGTTATATGAACAACAAGGCTCATGTTCCCTTTCAAATTAATGCGTCTAAGTGAAGAGACTATGTTACTAACATACACGTGCAATTTTTTTTCTCCGTCGATTATTTACATTTATATCTATAACACACATGGCAGTTAAACAAATTTACTTTTTTTTTACCACCCCCTCGTGTACACTTCAACCAATTATCCGTTGTGACATTTCATTTTTCTTTTTGTTAATGCTATATAGTGTATACGCCTTATAAACAATTAAATAAACTTTTTCACCTTTTCAAAATGTTTCAAATGTGCAATGTATTGCTCGAACATGTGTGGTATGACGGAAAATGTGAAATATATTCCCAAATATATTTTCCATTAAGTACAGGGTTGGCTATATGAACCTTTTAAGCGATGGTCATGCAGCAACAAAAAAATATATATTTACTTATGTGTGAATATCCCTTGCCCCCATTTTAATTCCAATATTAATGTAGACACAGAACTCGAAAGAACTAGAAAAGACCACAACTGTGTGGTACAAGAAAGCAATTAGGCTTTCCCCTCTTTGATCATCTTTACAAAAATGCATAATTTATTTTATGGACAAACGTAAAACATTGAACATCCCTTATGGATGAAGGGAAATATATACATGTCTGTGTAAACACTTTTCAATGCGGTAACACATTTCGCCATGTACCATTCTGTTGCAACTGTTGTTATAAAATGTGTAATTTCGGGGAAGACAATAAAATAAGAGGTTAATGTTTTGTTCAAGCTTTCGAAAAAAAATATTATTCCCAAATGGCAATGCACTTTTATTACTTAATTCGACAGCGTGCCCATTTTTCCCCCACTGAGAGATATGATCAAGCGTAGGTAAAAACGTAGGTACATGCAAAAGTGTAAGCATACATGAGAATGTCCTAGCGCATCCGCTGTGCTTTTCCCCAAATAGGAGATATAAACCAACGCACTGGAAAACAAGCCTCCGTTGGAATGTGTAACTGAAACAAAAAACTCCGCATGGAAGCGGCCATCAACACTCACTCGAGACACACTACGCATATGCATATAAAATGAAACTTCAATGTAACAATTTTGAAATTTGGAGGGAGAAAATAAAATTTCACTTATGGTGGAAGAGCTAGAGTATGAGCAGATAAGCCCAACCCCTATTCGTAAAACGCGATAGTTTATTAAGAGAAAGAAAAAAGGGGGGAATACCGATTAAAAGGATGCAAAAATGCGAATAAAAAGTACACAGGAGGCCATAATAAAGGTAAAAGGAATGAAAACAAAAAACGAGGGCAAACTCAGCGACGCGCAGCAAAATAGCAACACTGAAGTATAGCCGCAAACGGGTAGCTCACACCAAATGTGCTGGCCGCAAGCCATGCTCAAAACTTCGCCAGTGCGCAATAAAGGCAAGGCACATTTCGCGCGTCGCACATTTCCGAATTATGCATATGTACATGCGTACGTGAGCACATACGTACATACATGCAAATGTGATTGCGATGCGTAACCGTTCCTGTGAAACCTGCGACCACAGGGGTACCTTGCTGTATATGTACGTATTGCAAATGGGCACAGGAAAAAAGTTATACCGGAAAAAGATTTTTTTTGTAGAATAGTTACGTACAATTTTGAAGGCTCATGCGACACATTGTTAAAAGAAGTATAAAATTTTAGCAGCACATTAGCTAAATACAAATTTTGTTTTCACCCTTTGCGCCCATGCCCCCACTCACACAAACGGTTTTTTCCTCACCCTTACTTTTACCGCTACGTTTACATCACAATCAGTTATCTTTTGCTTTTATTTTTATTTCTCTGTGAAAAAAAAACACAAAAACAAGGAAGCAACTCCTGACCTGCCAAACGAAAAAAAGGTAGATAAGCATTTTATGGTGTAATGTGACCCAGTGTGATGAAATAAATGACAGCGATGCATCAGGCGGTGAAAAATAAGGAGAGAACCACATGCCTGTAAAGCATTATGGTCGCATTCCATAGCGCTGCGAGGAAGGTTACGTCACACTATATTACACTTTGACGAAGCTTAGAGGGAATGAGATAAAGTGCAAAAAGGGAAGAATACAAGGGAATTTTCCCCCGCCGCGCTGATATGCCGTGCACCCCACCGCTTTTCTCCTCCTATCCATTTGCGTACACTCGCGCCTACACGCACGTATGCTTACGCCTTTACACGTGGAACAGCTTGAATAACCCACGACGAGACTGAGAAATTAATTTTTCTAGCACTGAGTCACATGTGAGGGAACGTAAGGAGCAACTGGAAAAAAAAAAAAAAACAAAGCCACGTTGGAGAGTCTGAAACAGTGAGCGCAGGAAGAAAGCACACCCAGTGCAAAAAAACAAAAAAAGGAGAACATTAAGTCAGCGTTGTTTTCGTCCGTCGAGCGATACGTGCCAGCTCACAGTTACGTACCTCCCCTTCACACATGCACAGGGGCGCGCCTTAACACACACCCGCACGTACACAGGACCCCCCGCTTTTTCTTACATACATACGTACATTCTCCTTTATGTGCACTCCCCTTTATGTGTATACACACCCGCTCGAGCCAAAAGGCCCCCCAAAAAGGGAAAAAAAACGAAGCGCAGACGCGTTTGAGCAAGTATCCATAAAAGGAGAAAGAAAAAGCCGTACTTCTCATTCTACGCGCGCGACATTACACCACCTTTTACTCTGGAAAGCCGAAACAGCATGAACAACATGAACAGCATGAACAGCATGAATAGCATGAACAGTATGAACAGTATGAACAGCTTGAATAACATGAACAATATGAACAATATGAACAACATGCAAACCATGAGCAACAGCACACAGGCGTTTAGCGCCGACAAAAATGAAGCCACTTATGGAGACACAAGGATAGCCGAGCAGCAACAACAACAACAGCAGCAGTGCAACTACCAAATGAATAACCCATACAACCCGGCACCATCCATCCCCACAAAACTGTTTGTCAGTTCTGTTCCAAAAAGTTTAACAGAAAATGATATAAAAACGATATTTGAAGAATACGGAAGTATCAAAGATGTGGTTTTCATAAAAGACAAAAAACCAAACGTAAATCGAGCAAATGTATTCGTCCGAATGGAGTCCATATATTATGCACAAAAGGCTATCAACGATTTACACGGAAAAAAAGTACTGTGTGAAACATTAGGACCATTGATAGTCAAATTTGCCATAGGGGAGTGGGAGAAATATGGAGTGAATATGCATAACGCGAATGAAAATGAAGCAAAATTATTTGTTGGTTCTCTTCCAAAGGAAATAACCGAAGAGCAAATAAGGAATCTATTCAATAGATATGGAAACGTAACAGAAGTTTACATCATGAAAAACAGCAACGGGGTTAGTAAAAGGTGTGCTTTTGTTAATTACGCCTACAAAGAACAAGGAATATTTGCAATACAAAATTTGAATGGAAAAATAGCTATCGAAAATGCAGAAAAGCCAATTGAAGTTCGATTTGCAGAAACGAAAAATCAGCTACAGGAGAAGCAGCTACTAAACAGGGCCCTACTCAACCCGCTGAACAACAACAACAACAACAACAACAACAACGGCAATAACAACAGTACCAACAACGGCAACAATAATAATCAGAGCAATAACAATAATAACAACGCCTTTTTGCAGTCTCAACAATTTAAAAATATGCATGTCAATTCTTTTAATAGATACCCTGTACATATGAATTATAATTTACAAAACAATACCACTCACCAGAGAAACGCAAATAACGATGCACATTCCCCGTGGAAACAATATTTTTCCAAAGAAGATGGACGACCATACTATCACAACGAGATAACGGGACAGACACAATGGCATAAACCCAGAAAACTTGATCAAGATTTTATTAATCCATTAAATATGAATGAAATGTCTGGTCCTGTGGGAGCAAATATTTTCATTTTCCACATCCCAAATGAGTGGATACAAAATGATTTATTAGCTGCCTTTTCTCCCTTTGGAAATATCATTTCTGCACACATTGCCACTGAAAAGGACACTGGTAGAAACAGAGGCTTCGCTTTCGTTTCGTATGACAATGTAGATAGCGCAATAAATGCTGTTAAATACATGAACGGATTTTTAGCACATAAGAAGAAGCTCAAGGTCACCATAAAGAAGGGCGAGGAGCAGTACGTGCAGGCACTTCTCAACCAGAGAAGCAAGCTGAACACTCCTGACAATAGGAGAAATTTCATGAACGCCACGCCGCATGCGTGATTGGTTGTCAGGTGGTGAAAGAATCACCCCATGTGAGGAAGGCATATATTTATATGAGGGGCGTTCCCCTTTTTTCCTTGTGCACGCGCCGCGTTGGCCGACTTTTACGCGAGTAGGAACCAGTGTATTACGTTTACGACCCTGTGCGTGTGCACAACAGAACATAATAAACAGCTTACACGCGTGCGCGTACCTATATATGTGTACGCATTGTATACGCCAAAAATGTCTTTCCTGAGGAGGATGGAATATGCCAATATGGATACTGGACGGAGGTCAAAAATACGGACAAGCGAAGAAGCATAAAAAGAAACAGAAGAACACGCGGTAGGAAGGAAAAAATTCGAGAGCTCGAAAAAAAACAAAAAAAAAAACAAAAAAAAAAAAAAAAAGCCATTTAACGCGAAAGCATTACGATAATGCACACCCCTTTTTGTACAGCTTCATATTTGTTTTCAACCATGAATTTTTTGTAGTAGGGCGCCTACTGTGTATGTATGTGTGTGTGTATTTTTCCGTATGTACATGTACCTACGCATACACGCCTGCATGTATGTGACCTTCATGTGAGTGCTTAAATTTTGCAGGCACACATTTGGCCCTCCATGTTTACTTGAGTGAGAGGTGCGCACGTGCGCATTTATATGCATTTGCACATGTCCATGTGCACACTTACACATACGTGGAATACCGCATATGAGGTGAGGCACGCGAAATTTCGCATGGCATGTTTGGAACATTATATCAAAGCGCGTATCGAAATTAAAGTGAAAAGTGCTGTTAATTCTACGTCATTTTAGTGCCGCGCTTAATGACTTTAAAATTTGCATGTTATGTTTGTGTGGGTGTGTCTATGCATATGTGGACATGTCGCAGCCAGAGCCGTAGAGACGTGGTTGTATTTTTTTCCCATTTTGCGTGCACGCGAATTCACGGTTGTTTGCTGAAACATGTTGTGAATGCCCTGAATTAGTTTTGCTACTGCATGTACCCCTCTGCACGTGCGCCCCATAGGCTTGTTCTATCCTGCCACATGTATAATATATTTTTTAATTGCATGTAAAGATGTGCAGTTACGTTGTATATACAGGGGTGTGCATATGTGCTGTGCACGGTGTGCGAATACGCACGTGTATACATGCTTGTGGAATAGTCGAGTTCTTTTTTTTTATTTTTTAAAATTGATTTTGGTCGTATTAAAGTATGCAGCGTATAGTATAGCCGCAGCTCGAGTTGCACGGCTGAAGCTACACAGCGGAGTTACATAGCTAGAAGGTTTTCAATTAACAACATATTCACTTCATGTGGCGCAAATGCACCTGAATTATGGGCTCTGTCCCTGCACGAGCATATATATACACACCTACATATGTGCGTAAATGTACAATAGTCGAGTACTTTACGCCTCTAAACACAAAGAGGCAAAATATTTTTCCTTCTGCCACTGTAGCCTTTCCTTTTTTTTTCCCTTTTATCGTATCTACTGATGAAATGTACATACCCAGAAGACAAAATGCTATTTAAAAAACGTACCATAAAAAATATAAAAAAAAAAAAAAAAAAAAAAAAA